CTGTTGCTAGACGTGGCCATGACGTCAGAGCAGCAGAACAGCAGTACAGCAGAACAAGTTCATTGGGGGCAGGTAGCACGATTCAGCGCTAATGGGAGCGCTGCAGTGGCGTCGTCGCAGTCCCGACCTTCGTCCGAGGCATGCAGCATGCGGACAACACTAACACACACACACACACGCATACAATCACACATGTGCACCATTCACATTATTCATGCAGTGCAGCGCATGTGGCAGGCAGTCACAAACAACAACAACAACAACAACGTGCAACTTTTACTTTCATTCGCTGTTTCGTGTTCAATTTTGCCGGGGCGAGTTCAAGGCCAAGTTAGTGTTGGGCCAAAGGGGTTGTTTGGTTCGTTAACAGCGTCGGCTAATTGGCGGCACTTGAACTGAAATTACAACAAACACAAATGCACACATACTAGTACACTCACACATACACATCAATGCATGCATCGCCTGCCTGCCTGCTTGCCTGGCACAAATTTCATAGCATACTTTTGAGCGCTGCGCAAAGAAGTCGTGCAATATTCATGAATATTCGTGAATATTGGTTACATTTATGGCCGTTCCAAACCAAAACAGCTGCTAGTTTTCTGAATGAATCAAGGTTGTCACATACGGCCAAATTGTGGAGTCTTTCTCTATACGTATGCAGAAAGTTACAATTTTGTTTATTGTGTTTTCTTTTCTCATTTTGCTTGTTTTTTTCTTTTGGCAAAGGTCGTGACTGGCCAATTTGCCAGAGTATTTGAACAAAACAGCTGATAAATTACAAATTTATAGGTTTATATTCGTTGCATAGTGATGCAAGTCTACACTGGACAAAAAAGTGCCAGCGCTCATCCATATATGGAGTACATAACAAATCGATGTGAATATATTAATTAAGTATGGGGTCCACTTATTAAGAGTGGCATCCATTTTAATAAGTAATAATTTAAAAATGTAAGCATGAATGTTTTTTTCAAGTATGACCATAAAATACGCTGCAATTGCAGTCTCAATTCACGGTACCAAAAATCGGGGATATCGATGAACATTTTTGTAGCACTGTGTTATTGATAAAAATACTTTGTACGACGCGTTGAAAAATACAAATCAGCTGCCAAGTTTGGGGCACTTATACTTGCATTAGACACGCCCACATCCCCTGACCTCGTCAAAGGACTCTTGCAGTCCAGTCTCCTTGCCCTCGTTACCAAATCCAACCTGCCCCCTTCACCTCCCCCTCCCCAAACTTCCTGACCTACACTCCCCATTTGCAATTAGCTACAGCTACAAAGTGCACAATAAAATTGTGACTGGGCGTCGAAATGTTGTAGACCCTGCAGAACGGCTTTGCATAAGATAGTCTAAACACTTTTTGTCGCGAAACAGGAAATATTTTTGACTTATGAAATTGAAGTATTGACAGTCTCCACATTTCAATGTTAAAAGGAACTAAAATAATTGAATATCATATAATGAAAGAACTTTTTAGAGGGTATGTATTAGTTCATAAGTTGCAACTTCAGCTGCTTTGCTTGTGTATTTTTCTTTAGCATTGCTTTCGCTTATCGCACCACAAAGATCGCCACAAAGGCCATGTTACGAAATTATTGGACATATACACATACACACACACACACACGCACACACACAAACACACACGCATACGCTGCGCCGTTGACATGCAATGCAAATAGTCAACACGCCGCCACATGCCGTGCACACAAATCAAGGGCACTTGGCCCATGTTACCCCACAGTGGCAGTACCCCACTCCCTCGCAAAACCCCGTCCTCTCCACTCCACACCCCCTCTTCACATAACACATAACCCACACAGCACTGCCGATTGCCTTCCACAGTGTACAACAATTGGGCGAGGTCGCTGTGGGCGGTTTGCGAGTTGCCGGGCAATTCAAATGGCGGCTACAAGTCGCGGCGCATGTTTTCCTTGTGGTTGCTGTTGTTATGGTTGCTGTGTGGTGGGGGTGTGGAAGCCTGTGTTGCCGTTGCCAATTAACTGAAACTGCAGAGTAATGTTTTCCAGGCGCGAAACTCTGTTCGGAGTTTTGACTTTGTTTTGCATGTCTACACACAAACATATTCACACACAGAGAGACACACGCACACACGTTATATTATTTAAGTTATTGTTAGGTGCCGGCTGTTTTTGCCGTTGTTGTTGTTGCTGTGGCATTGACATAAATTTGGTTGGCCAAATGAAATGGCAGCAACGGAAGCAGCTAAAAAGCGCGCAAACAACAACAACAATAACAATAATAATAACAATAAGAATGGCATCAATGCAAAGGGCAAACAACACACGCGCCACAGAACAAACATACACACACACACACACACACACACACATACAACACACACACACGCAAGGCACATTAGAGCAATTTTCTCGCAACATTTTTCTTTTGCTTTTTACTCATTTTTTTATTTTTATTTTACTTATTTCTGCAATTTCGCGCTGTTGTATTACATAAATACGAATCAAAATAATCTACATAGTGCGAGTATTAAAAAAAGGAATGCGATGAAAAGCGCAGAAAAATGGCCCAAGAAAAAGGCACACATTCTGGCTGAGACCAAAAAATCCTGACTGCTGCAAATTATTCGATTTAATGAGAAAATCGAATTCTGTAAGTGAATGAAAATTGTAGGAATGAAAGAAAGAAAGAGAGAAAAATGTAGGATGAGTAAGAAAACTTTACAAGCCGAGGCCAGATTTGAAAGGAGATTTGTTATTGAAATTATAGTATACAGCATTAGTATATCAAAAATAAAAATAATAAACAGTAAAATTCGATATAGATTATTTGTTAAGTAACAAATTATTAAATTCCTGATGAAAATATTTGCTTTTTAACCATGTTGTAGGATCCTCATATCTAACAAGATTGAGATGGAGCATAATGCCCGAAACATTTGCAAAATGTCACTGTACAGGAGATTACCGTACACATTTCCAATTATGAGTTGCATAATATAAAAAAAAGTGCTCAATGTATACAATTGAATTAATCAATGAATCGAAAATGAGACCAGAATTGCGAAAAGTATTTCTAGGAAGTTGTGAGCCTGTCACAATAACTTATTTTCATTTCTCTTGATATGCACAATTAGCTACGGTAGAAGTTATCTGAATTAAAATAAAATAATCACTAAATGGACTCAGTTGATAACTGAAAATAACAATGCATTTCAGTTTTTTACTCAAGGGATATTTTGCACCTGTGCTCTGCAGGCATTTTAATTTGACCTTGAATTTATATGGAACACATACATAGACACACACGTTCGTACAAGCACACGTTCTGACACACACACACACACACATACACACACAGACATACACACAAACATATATATACACATTAATTTTAATAATACGTCTTATGCAACGCGGCGTATGCGTAATGAGGCATTTCCCATCAGCGTCAGGCACTGTTCAGTGTGTGTGTGTGTGTGTGTGTGTGTGTGTATGTTGTTGAGTTATGCCGGCTCCAGTTAGTCGCAGAGATGACTCCGCACATTCGTTTTTGTAGTTTTCTCCTTTTTTTTTGTTTGTGCTTCCTACTCTGGCAGCGAGCATTGATATTTGTGCGATTTTTGGCTGCGATTATGGCGACAACGACAGAAACGGCGCCGGCTATAAAATTATTTGCTAAAAAGGCAAAATCAGCAGAAGATGAAAAAGAGGAAGAATACTGGCTGGGCAATAGTCGGAAATGACTGCCTTATTCGGAGTCGTTGTCTCAACGCGACAGGGCAATGACTTGGACTTGGCATTTTGAACTTGTCTCTTTTGCTCTTCGCACTAGACAGTCACTGGCATTACGCATACGCCATGTTAAAAACCGAAAACAACTTCATTTAAAGTGCTCAAAGCAGAAAATACCTTACAAAAATATCTAAGCTTAAGCATTTAAGGCACAGAAGACAACTTTTTAATGATTAAGGATAATAGAAACGTTGTTTGCTTATCAGTTTGATAGCTTGATCTTGATCAGCATAACTGGCTGACTCGATATAGCCTTGCCATCAGTCTTAAATCTATTTTGACAGCGCTTGTGTTGTAGTCGGTCGGATCGGATGACTCTATAATTAAGCTGCCGTAGAGACGATCGACGAAAGAATAATGAGTTCCAACATGCAAAACATTTTGTTTATACTAATTGCGAAAGTCTGACTACAATATCATAAAGCCTCTTCGGCTTTGTAAATATATAAAACAAAACAAAAAATACCATATTTGGCACACCCAAGATAGTCGATTTTTTTGTATCGATGTATATTTTATATTATTAATTTTTTTTTGTATAAGCGTAGAGTATCCATAATATGCAAGAAAATTTAATAAAGCAGGCATATTAAGACACCTACATACCAAATTTTGCGCCTCATTTGTTATAGTTGAGAGCACTTTCGATTGCTGCTGATGCAGCTTGTAGGGGCTTACTTTATATGGAGTCATCTTTAATATGCCCCATGTGAAACATAGTGGTGAGCAGGCTATGCAGAGTATCAATAAAGCAGGCTCCAAACTCTACGTTAAAGCTGTGCAAAGCTAAAAATATATATATATTTTTATGTGATGAAGATGTTCCATTATTGTGTTGAATGTTTGAGCAGAGGCGGAAGCTAAAGCTGAAATCGCAATGGGGATGGGTGTAGCGGGTAGGAGGAAAAAGCAAAGAAAAACCGCAAACTTCAATATGCTTTCTCAAAATCATTTATTCAAGTTGTTGCTAAAAGGAAAAAAAACAAAGAAATCGGAGCAATTTGCAAAGGAAGAGCGAAACATGAACAGAAAGGAACTGAAAACTTAAAAATAATATATATATATATATATATATATATATATATATATATATATAATTATACATATGTAAAGATATGTAATAAAAAAAAACAGCTGGAGAATTGGCGGGTGGTTTCTAACTAAATTCGTGTTTAGAGCTGTGCATTTTTTATTTTTGTCTATTTTGGGTACTTCTCATATCCATAGTCCTTGAAATTGAATTTGTCCTTGTCCTTATCTTTATCCTTGTCCTTCTTCTTGCTGATGGCAGGTGTGTTCTTGCGAGGCCGATTCATCATCGGATCGTCCATTTGGCGCGATGCTTGTTGTCGCACCTGTGCCGGCGGTCCTGGTTTCTTCTTCTTCTTCGGTTCCGTCTGTTGCAGCAGCTGCTGCTGCTGCAGGAGCAGCAATTGAGGTTGTTGAAGCAGCTGCAATTGTTGGTGCTGCAGCTGCAGCTGTTGCTGCTGCTGCTCCTTGCGCTCCAAAAACGCAGCGTTCGCCGACGCAACAGTCGCAATGCGCTGCTGCTGCTCCATTTGCTCAAGCTGCTGCTGTTGCTTCTTCTTGTGGAACTGCACCAGCTGCGAGCTGCGACGCCGCAGTGCAGCACCATATGGGGCGAAGCCATCACCAGCATTGGTAGCACCACCGACGCCAAACAGCTTGCGTATGCGTCGCTTGTTGATGAAGCCACCGAAATTGACAGCGAGTCCCAAGGGCCCACCACCAGCTGCACCACCCGAAAACGTCACCGGACACGGACTGTGGGACGTTGAGCTGCCCGGCTCGCTGGCGCCGGCAACCATTTGGCTAAAGTTGCTGTCGAGGTCACAGCTGGTGCTGCCGTTGAAGGTGCCACCGCCGATGGTGCCAGCAGAGTCGGCACCACACGGAAACAGATATGTATTCAGTGTGCTGAGTGTTGTCGATGTCCCAGGTCGACTGATCGCGCCCAGGCTCAATCCATTGCCACTGCTGCTGCACGGATTGCTGTCGGGCAGTTGCAGTTGCAATGTCATCGGCAGTGGCAACATGATAGCCGTTGAGCCGCTAATGTTGCCGCTGCCAGTGGTGCCAGAGCTGCTATCATAGCTGTGCGGATTTACATAAATGTGATTGTTGTTGCTGCTGTTGTTGTTGTTGTTGTTGCTGTTACCGCTGCTTGTGTCTATTGTTGCTGTTGTATTATTGTTGCTGCTGCTGCTGCTCGTCTGTGTGGCTGCAATGCCGCTGACGATAAGACCGCTGCTGCTGCTGATGTTGTTCTCATTGTTGTTGTTGCTGGGCTGATGACTGTGGTTTTTGCTGTTGCTATTGCTGTTGTTGTTATTGTTGCTGTTGCTGTTGCTGTTGCTCAATGGTAGGCAATTATTGTTATTGTTGCTATTACCGCTGCGCGCTGGCGCTGTGGCGGGACGTGGCGGTGCTGTTATTGTCGTTGTTATTGTTGTTGTGTGTGCAATATCAACACGACTGCTGATATTGGTGGGAGTCGCTGTTGCTAGCTCTGCTGTTGTTGTAGCTGCTACTGCTGGTGGTCGCGGCTGTTGCTGCTGTGCACGATCATTTCCATTGCTGTTGCTGTCGTGATTGCCATTTCCATTCGTTGCACTCATGGTTGAGTTGCAATTGTTGCTAGTTGAAACCAATTGATGCGCAGTATTGATATAATGAGACTTTTCTCACAGTGTATAAGTTTCTCTCAAAAATTTATTTAAAGCTAAATTTTATATTAATTTTTCTGGTTACTGTCTCAAAAATGCTTATAAGCTCAGCTACTTTTTTAAAGTTGTTATTTATGCTTTTAAGCTTATTATAAATTCAATGTTGATTGATTTGTTAAGATTATAGTTTTAAGTTTTTAAATTTATCGATTAAAATGGTGTTTATAAATTGATTTTAAAATGTTCTTATTAATTTAGTTGGTTATTAATTTGCCAAAGTTTATTTGTGTGGATTGGTTTTAAGTGTTATATATTTTTGTGATTGTTATTAGTTTGATTTTATTACATTTATTATGATTGTTTGTTTATTACATTTAAAAGTAAGATTTATATTAATTTTTAATAGTTTTATTTGATTCGGTGCACGTTGAAAATTGGTTTTAAAATAGTTTTTACTATTATTCGAATCTCTAAGTTATTAATTATTATGCAAGTGAAGCTTTTCAATTGCGTATTATTTTTATTTGTATTTTTTATTTTTGGAAGCTTAACTGCGAAACACATGAGTTTCCATGCATCTTTCACTGCACTTAGCACTAAAGCACATTTGAACAAAGCCAAAAAAAAATGTGTATTGGGTTGGTTTGGTGGTAGACCACTTGTTTATCACAGTGTTTGTGTTTGATTTGCATTGGTAAGGCAGTAAATACTTTAACACACACGCACACTCTTACTCACACATACACACACACACACACACACACACTCACATACACTCACATACACACACACATACACATATGCTTAGAAATGCATAGCAAAAAAAAAGTAGCAAAAAAATGTACCCAACGCGGATCGCGCGCCACAAAAATCAAGTGAACTAAACTGAATTGAACTGGACTGAACTGAACTGCACTGCACTGCTGTGTTCCTCTTTTTTGTGCCTGGTCAACTACTGTTGGCCAACACTGTTATCAGTCAGAGCCACGTGCTTAATGCGCCGCGTGCCACAATTGTATGAACTCTGTGGCGCGTTGTTGACAATGCCACAGTGCCAACAGTCGCCGCCGCAGCGGCCGTAGCAGCAGCACCAACGAAGTTAAACACACGCACACAGACACATACACATACACATACACATACACCGTGTGAAAGAGCGAGCGAGTGAGAGAGAGACATAAACACGCACACGCACGAAGTAGTTGCGCTGTGTTAACTGGGCCGATGAGTTGGCTAACTCAAACTGGAAGTCGAGTCCTGAGACTGGGGCCAGACTCGCGCTGTCTGCCAGCGTTGCGACTTCTTCAAAAAATGCCAAACAATTGGCCAGAAATCTAAGCCAAAAGCAGCAGACAAACCACTTGAAGCACACATACACACCAACACACACAAACACACAAACACACACAAACACATATTTGTATAGTTGTAGTAGTTGTCGTGTTCGGGCTAAATTTCGGGAGTCTTTCGGTTCAGTTGAGTTCACTTCATGGCTAACTTAACTAAATGCCGCGCTGCAGTAGCGATGGCAGCAGCACACACACACACACACACACACGCACACAGACACATACACACACACACACACACATACACACGTACACACACACACTCGACTTTAACTCAACTCGGCTGCTCATCGGCTGGCAACTCGTGAACTCTGACAAAACTGTAACTGTAACTAATGTATTAGTGTTGTTGCTAGTTTGTTTGTGCTGCTGCTGCTGCTGCTGTTGTTGTTATTGTTGTTGCAGCTGTTGTTGTTGACCTGCCAGCCGAGGCGGCAACATTTCAATTCGGATTTGGCGAATCGTGCCACTGTTCCCAACACAGATCTCCTCTTCTACCCAGCACCCCCTCCCACCACAGTCATTGTCCTCGGTCCTCGTCACAGCAGTTGCTCTTTTTCTCTCCTTATTTTTATTATTTTGTTTTTTTTTTTTATTTCGTAACAGTTTTTACCATGTGACGATTAATAGTATGAGTGTGTTTGTGTGTTTATGTGCTAGTGCGGCAGCTGCTACTTCCATAAAGCTGTCACTTGTTCAACTACAACTGCTGCTGCTGCTGCTGCTGTGGCATGTCAGATCAACAACATCTGCAACATTTTCAACAACTCGCATGGCGACTGCTGCTGCATCTGTTGTTGACAATGAAAAACGCCACATGGCACTTTAACCCCTTTACAAATCAGTTTGGGATAACATTAAAAAATATGCTCCTGGCTTATTAACTATTCTCTTTTTTTTAGCATCATGTTAAATGCTTATGAAAATGCTTATAGAATATTATGCATAACAGTTATACCCTGGACACATCCACTGCTTAAATCGGGTATAATAGTGTATATGAAGCATTGAGAAAGTAGACATCCTTTGGATGTATAAAGTATCTATATATTTATTAAAAGTTATTCGATCCCTGTTACTACACTATTTCTGTTTCAATGTTTAACATCCACATTTCACAAGCTTAGATGGATTACCTTTATACTTATACAAATCCATTTAAGATCGTGTTATTAAAGTTTTCATACATGTCCATTATAGTCACATTCTTTGTTACATAATTGCCGATTGGATGATTTAGACCTTATCAAAATATTGCCATTCACAAAATTTGAATTACATTTGCATTGTTGACGACCAAATCATTAATGAATATCAGCTTCAGCCAATTACCGATTATAACATTTTCTTTATGTAATGGTGATTTGTAAACTTTTACAGCTATGTAAAAAAAGACTTTAATAAAATCCGATTTTTATGATTTGGCTATTTTTTTTATTCAGCAAGTACACATGCATATATGTATATAGACCTTGGCGGTGCCCTCACGCAATTTTCACTTAAATGGAGGTCGAATATTCGTTGCGCTTTGCAAGAACAACGTGTCGCATGCGCAATCTGACGAACTTATATGACGCATTCGCAACGTGAGCCGGCAGCACAGAGTGAGTAAAATGGGGAGGGAGACTAACAGTGAGAGTGAGACAACAACGAAGGTAGAGATAGAGATAGAGACAGAGACAGAGATTGAGACAGAGATTGAGACAGAGAACAGAGAACAGAGAAAACGTGTTTGGATCCTAACGCAGAAATGCAAAATGTATATGTATGTTTGTGTGTGTTTTGTCTTCGTGTTTGAGTCGGCCATGCAAATTGCCAGTGTCATAGTACAGACTTTTTCTTCTTTTTGGTTTTGTTATTTGCTGCCGTGTTGTGTGTTCATTTTGCATGTGAGGCAACCTTCATGGCTAATAAGCAGCCTGCCAGCAGTCACGGCACGTGTAATATACGCTGAGGGGCTCACACTTACTCCACTCAAAGTGCGAGAGCGAGAGGAAGTCAAACAGAGAGAGAGAGACAGAGATAGCGAGAGAGTCAGCAAAAATATTGATCAAATTTTTTTTTCGGTTTGTCAGCGTTGCCACACAACAGCAAGTGGGACAAAATGAAATCGGTAGGTAGCCTATAGCGAATGTCAACCAAACAAACAAATAAATTCTCTTGAGCCCACCCGCACAACTGGAATGGACCAGCCCCTTTAACCCCCTCACCTCCCACCAACCAACGTCTTATACTCATCGCGGAGAAGCTGCCCCATCAACATGGACTTCCAAAGTGCAGCTCTGGATGACGCTTTGCATTTAGCATAGCAACATATCCTATCCCCGCCCGTACCTCCACCACCACCCACTTCTCTACTCTGATTACCCTTTCGCCCACTTACACCCCTCTCCCCTCCTCCCTTGGCCCCATCCCCTTTTTATGGTACTCTTGCCATAAGGCGCACACAATGGCAAAACGATTTTCGTGCTAAAAATAACCAAATTGATGGCGTCTTTTAGTCAGCCCTCCTGTGTGTGTGTGTGTGTGTGTGTATGTGTGTGTGTGTGTGTGTGCGTGTGTATGAGTAAGTGTGCGCTCCATAAAACAGTACAATGGAGCGGGCGGGCGGTTGGGGCGGTCGCTCAGTCGGTCGGTTTGTCGGCTAGCTGGTCATGGCCACGGTGAAGGCGAGCGAACAAAGAAAGCACAAGCAAATCAATTAAAAATTTGTTCGTTAAGCGCAACCAAAACAAAGACGCAGAGAAAAACTTTTGGCTGGCCTGGACAAACAGTTGTGCTCGTAATTGTGATAGTTTTTGATTTGTGGCCAGTCTGAGATTCCTAGCTACCAATCCACCACCCCCTTTCCTCTCCGCCCCCTTGCACCTTTTTGTAGCTGCCAGTTGATGAAATTCTTTCGTGCCACCCGACATTTCCGGCAGCGACATCGACTTTGATTTTCGAGTCGTCAAATAATGTGTACTCCCTACATCCAGCTTAAACAACAGCTAGCACAATTACAATTACAATTACAGTTACAGCTACAGTTACAGTTACAGTTACAGCTATTGTTATAGCTATGGTTGCCAACTTAATTCTCAAGCATTGGGTACATTCTGTAAAGCGTTGTTCTGACTGTTGAAGTTATAATTGCATGTTTCTGAGGCAAATATAGTTATTAAGGCTCGATTGACAACATCGATTACTTTTCAAACAAAAGCGAATTGCTTTTACAGCTCTTTACACTGTACAAATTAATTGATATTGATTGATGCTGAAACACATCTGCTAATATTGAAGTTGAATATTCTTCAAACTTCTGCCCTCAGAGTAGTGATAGAAAAATGTGTAGATTAGCTATTGCTTGGGATATTGTGGGTTAATTAACAGACATCAGATAGATGTTAAAACGTATTGGGAGCGTAACGATGGGTACTTTATACGCTTGCTAAGCTTTCAAGATACTCTTAAAAAGAAATCCTATTAGATGAGACAATCAAATAAGATAAGAATTGGAAAACTAGGTAGTCACCGTAAAGTAGAAAACATTTGTTTTGTGTGAAATGCTTTTTGTTAAATAGGAATAAGAAGTCAGATCTAAGGTCAATCTGAACAGCGCTTTACTGAAGTTATGTTTTCTTAAGTAATTTATTGATATACATAGTTACATCATTTTAAAGTTATCCTGCATGACAAACTGCTTCTGCCTGTTGGATTTGACGGATTGGTCGCACTTTAATAATTTTAAACAATACTCAACTCAACTCCAAAAAAAAGAAGAAAAATTAAAAGCATTGGAATTTAGACAACCAGCGAAGTGTCTAGTTTTCAACCAACTTTCGCAATGCAAATTTCTGGTTTTTTAAACATTTTTTTCATCCTTTAAGTGTTGCTTATGGAATTGGTTCTGCAATTTCCATTTGCATTGCCTAGCTACCTTTTCTTTTTGTGACGCATCTCGGCGGGCGAACGCACATTGGGCGCCGCGTGCATTATTCCCGACACCAGCTTTGCAGTTTTATTTATTCACCCCGCACCACAATTACAACTAGAACCACAGTGATAATAAGAACAACAAGTATTTAGAGCACCCCGATGTGAACGGGCGCGCGGGTGAATTTAAAGTGCCGCAGAAGCACAGCAGAGCAGAACAGTCGCCTACGTTTGCTTAGAGGGTGGGTGTGGAGAACGAGGGGACAGCAGCCCATGTCTTCACCAGCAATCGACGCCAATTTGTATACCCTTCTCGCAGAGGGATTGTCATGAAATGTTTGGCTTGAACTATCTTGGTTGAACTATCTTTTTCGTTATTGACTGGCTGTAAAACACTGCAAATTAAATTTGAAGGCACATTAACTTAAGTCTACACAGTCTTGATCTATATATAAAGTTCTGATCTTGGTCATCATTTTTGTCGGGAGTTTTTGTTTTTCAAGACAACTGATCTGAAATCATTAGTTAGGTCTGTCACAATGATCTAATTAACTATTATCAAACTACGGTTTTCATTTGTATTTATAATTTTAAATATGAGTAGCTGGCTGTTGCTTAATAGGGTATATCATATTCGGCTTACAACCGGCAGCCGTTCTTTCTGTTTGCTTTCTAATTCAATTTTCTGGCCTGCGAGGGTTGCTTGAAGAACCTTGGCTTTGGCCACTACCGGAAATGCTCAGTGATAAAGGGCGAGAGAGACACAGAGAGAGACAAAGAGAGCGACAAAGAGAGAGAGAGAGAGAGAGAGAGTGAGAGAGAGAGAGAGAGAGAGTGAGAGAGAGAGAGAGAGAGAAAGAAAGAAAAGAGAGTGAGGGACAAATAGAAATAGAACAGAGCAAGTAGTCATGAAAATATGAGCAACAGCTGACCAAAGGGCGTCTTTCATAATCTCTATAGCTGCGTTCAAGAAAACTATGCGAAATGAGCTTCAAAGTCGGCCCCCAAAGGTGGTGGTTAGGGGCTGTGGCTGGGGAAGAGATGGTTGTTTGTCTCTCACAGAACACACTGAACACATCAAGAACGCGCAGTGGTTGGCGCTTTTTAAGTCGCGCTCAAGGCCAAACGCCACTTGGCCACTGTCCGCCGCTTAATAATTGCCCGCAATATGTCACCACTCCCCAACACTCCCCAACACTCACACACACCCCTGACATACACCCCTTGAGGTAAGGCCCATGCATGCATACATATGTGCAGCGTTAATTGGCTGCAAGCGGCAAATCGATGATGACAGGCGCAAAAGCATAACTGTAAAGCATAGAAACACACACACATTCGGTGCACCACCAACCATACACAACCACACAGTTCATTGGTTATCATTTTGGGTCTGTGCTCCTTAGCTGGGAAGGTCAGTTTGAAAGTGTGACAATCGACACAAGAGAATGACAAGTGTTAGAAATAATAAGTAGGATTATTCTAGTGGAGGTTGCTCGACTAGGACATACCCTGACCCCAAATCTTTACCAAGCATGAGTCAATGTTCAAAGTATATTCATGCCCAATTAAAAAGCTATATTTGTACATTTTTAAAATCATTGTAATCGGTAATCGATTTTAATGTGCAGGAGAAGTTGTCGATAGGATTAAATAACTTATATTCCAAACAAAGTTTCTAGGTCTGTGATCTGACAAATAGACGAAGATGGCTAAGTGAACTAAACCGACAGCTGATCAAGAATAGATATAGTCTATGGGACGGATATACTTCAACCAGCATCTTACATATTACTTTTACTAAGTTTAATGGACAAGGCATAAACAGTTTCAGGGGTTGGTTCTGAATTGTTGTGTTGCCAACCGCATTGTTGCCGAGTGGGTGTGAAAATAGCACAAAACGAGCTATGAATTTCTCAGAAGGCAAATTTATGTTTCGAAAAACACAATAATAACAATATCTAAAGATCGATTTAATTTTCTCGACAGCTCTCCAGTAATTTCATTGTGACGAACCATTCAATTGACTTGACAGCTATTCATCGTTCCATATGCTGACGCGCTCCAAGCAAAGCCTGCCTAACCCAACCCAATCCCATGAAACCCTGCCGCTCAGCATCTACTCTTAAGATCACATAATCCCTGCTTAACTGAACCTCCCTCCAGTCTTATTTTATTCGCTTATGCTGCTGACACGCTAAACAATTACACCTTGTTATACTCTGATACCGAAGGTATAAGAGTATATGGGTTTTGTGAAATGTCCGTCATTCTGTCTGTCTGTCTGTTACTGAAAAGCTAAGAAATCAGTAAAATCAATAATTGGAAATCGGTAAAACCATATACCTCATGCAATTATTATATCAATCAAAGGGCGTTAAAAAATGTCCTGGTCCTGCCCACGAGGGACCCCACCCACTGCCGAAGCATGCCACAAAAAGTGGTTTGCCACCAGTTATCAGCTCATGTTACACTGGTGTATGAGTATTCCTCAGCTGACTTAACCGCATGGCAACGTTCTCACTTGTTTTTAATTGTTAGTGTTATTGTTTTTTTTATAGTTTTACTTTTAATTTTTATTTATTTATTTTTTATTGGTTTTGGAATATTTCCGAAGATCGCCTTTATGTTGAATAATCGACTCTCATGACGTGTGAACCATCAGCCAAAAGAGCAGTTAAATATTGCGAGGATTGAGCGTGAAAGATGCAGTTAAACTCACGGTTTATTTGTTGACTAGGCAGAGATGCTAAATTTCTTTCGGAATTTGTAAATGACACAAGATTAGGTATGCAATATAAGAAATGTGAAATGTGAAATGAAATGAAATGAAAACTATACGAGAAAATGGAAATCAATGATCTTTGGGGCACTGGGGCTGATCGTAAATGTGGAATTTGGCGATTCTAAGTAAATATTTAGAAAATAATAAAATTTTATAAAAATTTTAGTACACTAAATGGCGGCAGCTGAAGAAGAATAGGAATATGAAGGAGAAGCAGCAGAAGCAGCAGTTGCTATAAAAGAAGAGGAAGCAGCAGCAAGAAGCAGACCAAAACGGGGGACTCGGCTATGAGGCTGAAAAGGCGTGGCGGATGTGCTTGACGCTTACCTTGGCGCTTGGCTTAAGCTGCCGTGCGTCGTCGTGATGTGGGCCATGCAGGCGATCCATTAACTTACTCCAAAAACACTTCGTTCCACTTGGTTAACTCTTGATGGCAATCTATATGTATGTACATGATGATCCTTAGTATTTACAGGGGCTAAATAAATAGTTATTTACTTGACTTGACTGGCGAATGTGGTACACACATACAGATATACATACATACATACATATATACAGATACAAATTTAAGCTGTTCACGACTAACAAATACATACACACCCATATACATACACACACACACACACACACACAGACACATACACGCATAGACTGAGCTGTACATAAATACATTTAATATGTTACGTATACGTAATATTGTTATTGCTGTTGCGGTTGTTGAGTCTGCTTCTGCTTCTTTTCTTTTTTCTTCTTTTTTTGTGAGGGAGGGCGTGCGCGGTGTTAAGTATATTTATGGAGCAGACGTATAGACAGACGTCTCTAGATATATATTTATTTATATTCAAATTCATATGACAAAAGAAATGAAACGAAACGAAACAATTTTCTTTCTTCTCTCTTTTTATCTTTCATATTTTGTTTGTTTTTTTTTTCACAGTGCGAGGGACGCGCTCGGTGTACGGTGGCGACTGCGGGTTGGAGGCGGCAACATTTGTCGTACACATTTTTCACATATTCCACAGCGACAACGACAACAACAGCAACAACAACAACAACAGCAACAACATACTGAATTCCACACGACAGCGAAGCTGTGTGGAAGCTAAAGACGACAACGTGCACACAGGCGGAAAGGGGGAAGAGGAGTGGGGGCTGGGAGATTTGGATGGGGTGAGTGCCACGTCATTGGCGACACTTTTCACATAATTTGCTGTTGGGCTTTATTACCGCCTCTGTTTGGTATTTAACAACACTGCACGCACCGTGGGGCCAGAAATCTCTTTTCTTCTTTTCTTCTTTTTGCTCTTTTTCCTTTTGTACAACTATTCTTCTGTGGCACAGCACACAAAATAAAACACAAAACAAAAAAGAACTACGACAAAATGATTGAGAACGCACACTGGAAAAATCGACTGACTCCGATTGCAGCGATTGTGGGGCAAGTGCGAAGCGTTCACCGGCGTGCGCGTTACTGAAGATCGCCAGCGGCAGCGCCGTCAGCGACGACGACTGCTGTGGCAGCGACTGCGACGGCGACGGCGACGACTGAAACTGCGGACGGGTTCGGAACTGGCCAAGAAATGAAATGGGCATGGGTACGCAGACTAAGGCAACAAACAGCAGCGACGACAACGATGCTATTGAGCGAATCCAGCGCATCTCGCTCTGCTTTGTGTGGGTGTGGCAGTCTGTGTATGTGTGCGCGTGTGTGCGTGTGTGTGCGTGCAAAGTGTTTTTCTCACGCAAATTGTTCTGCAGCAGCCGCAGCGCAAACGTCAGCGGCCATCGGCCCAAGAAAGCAGCCGATATCGCTCCACAGCACGTTTATGCGATAGGCGTTTGGATGATCTGCATAACTCACACAACTCAAAACTCAATCACTTAACGAAGTACCAAAGAGGAGGCGAGAACAGCCTCTGCACTACAAGCCGGAACACAGCTGGCCAATTGCAAATTCGATTACACATTTAAGATTAACGCTTTAAAGATTACATATCCATCCACTTGCTGTCATCGAAATTGTATTTCAAATTTGAAAATCCGATCGATTTTACACATGGAAGCTTTACAGTAGTCACAGTCCTGTTTATAACTTTGGGAGCATAACAAAACTCTTAATTATTGAGTTTTCTCGGGATATCGCGGAAAGGAAAAATGTTGTTCGTACAAGACTTCACTTACCGATAGATCGATCCTATGACAACTATATGATATTGTGACTACGTCAAATGTAGTGCTTGCAGCACAAAGACGAGCAAATTCCAAGTCGCATCAAGACAGACTTAAAATTGAGGAAGTTTTACTCGACTAGTGGTGCTGATCAAGATCACACATGGAGTCGCAAATATTTTTTCATTTGTTAATGAAACAAACTTTTGCTTTTGATAAAGATATCTTCTGTTTTCTTTCAGAAATATTTTGCAAACACACAAATAAGCTATCATCTTTCATATTGATAGTTGAACTTAACTTATCAAAAGAAGTACAAATTAAGTTACTTATGTCAATTGTGCAACAACTACCACATCTCAGTAAATCAGAGTCGTAATCATTGCTCTGTTTAGGATAATGTATCATAAACAGTCAACACGCATAAGCGAAATCGAAGAGCACAAAAAAAACACACGACGACCAGCCTTGTCCACCTGTCTTAAATTGCAATGCACCTGCAATGGGTGAAGCAAGAGGCGGGGGGTGTGGTGGCCAGACCTAGGCCTTGCGAAACTTGAGGGCAATGATCTATATAATCATATTTTTCAATGAAAATAATAATAATTGCAGACTATAAGGTGTTGTAGAAGAAGCAAAGAAAAAAAGAAGAACAACAAATGCATCCTTCACAACTCCTTTAAATTTTCCATATCTGATGAGCAGCAACATCTGATATTATTACTATTGTAAATCTATATTTATATTAATGGTAATAACGTGGGCCAGTGAACACGGCTGAGGGGAACGTGCAACTCGTGGAACAAATGACGCAATATGCAATTACTGAAATATGCAAAATGCATTTTCTGCACTATTTATTTTCGATAGTATGCAGAATAAGAAGAAGAAGAAGAAGAAGAAGACGAAGAAGAAGAAGAAGAGGAGAACACGTAATATTCATAATGAGGTTAATGATGACGTTGGAAAGAAAAATAAAGAAATACATTCATAAATGTACATATGTGCGATGTATATGTACAGATGTACATATGCAAATATTGAGAAGTGGATTATTCCAGCTAAATCTTTCAGCATCTAATACTTAGTTATTAATGCGTTTTATAGCGTTCACAGCGACAACAACAACAACAACAACAATAATAATAATAACAACAATAAGAAGAAAACGACCTTCACTCGCTTTTCTTTCGTTTCCACTCGAGAGCTGCGAGCGGATTGCGTAAAGCGGCCAACGGCCCGTTGCGGCTGATGCTCAGATACTCAGAAAAATATGTGGATAGTACATATATAGTATATAGAGTAGATATATATGTATATATCTCATGGATGCCGAGCTGTTGCCTTGTTTTCGTCAATTGTCGACAATATCGTTTTTAATGTGCCTCTTTATTTGTTTCAAAAGCCTAGCCAAAATCTAGCTGAGTGGTGCCTTAAGAGAGGGATGAAAGGGAAGCAGGTGGGTGGGGCAGGTGGCTGTATTTCGGTATTCGCTAAATGCCAAGAATAATTTTAATGCATTTTCATTTTCAAGCATTTGCCGATTGATTGCTGTTGAAAAAGTGATTTTAACCCAACAACATTTTGTTCTTTTATTTATTATTCTTTTCGCCCGGGTTAATTTAGCTTTGTCACGAAGAGTGTGTTACACAGAAAGCAAAGAGAAACAACATATCCGATTCCATAAAGCATACGTATAACAACACTTTTCGCTTTCGAAATTATGCTTAAATCGTTCTACAATATTAAATATAAATGTTCATACAAATTCATAAACTCATTTAAAGGGTACATAATATTTGGCTTGCAGATGATGAAGCTGTCTGTTTTTTGCTTGTCGACAACGGGCGGAGGGGCTTGGGCGTGACTTTTGCGTTTCGCACATCGCGCAGGTGAGAATCGAGTAAGCAGCAACGAGTTGTTGATTGCTGAGCGAGCTGGCGTCAATGGATCATTGGCAGCGCATCTTTAATACGCACTTGCTGGTGGGCAGGTGGGCACGTGGGCAGGGGGCATATGGGTGGGTGTGCCTCTTTATGGGGGCGTGGTGCGATGGTGTGAAGCCACCACTCGCCATTGCGATGCCATTTGCCATTGTTTGTACAAATTGTTGTTGTGAGGCGCATTTAATTGAGTCGTTTGGCATTTGGCTTGTTTATTTGTTTGTTCGACAAGTTTTGCGATTGATTGATCGATCGAATCTGCGCATTTGATGAATGCATGCAGCAGGTGCAGCGACTCGCTTTCCTTTTCTTTTCAATATTTTTCCGCTGCAACGTCTGTGACGTCAGCATTGACACAAAACCCTCATTTGCCACTGCCTGCGCCATTGTAAGCTATATGTGGAAAGCAGGCAAGGGAAATGCGCCCAAGCGCATGACAATGAGGAACAAGCGATGAGACGAGCTTGTCCCAACATGTTCCAAGTGTTGTTGTCGATGTTGCATGTCGCATGTCGCATGTCGCATCTCGCATGTTGCATCTTTGAAATGTCACAGCAACACGTCTTACCAATGCGTCAATGTTGGGGCAAATCGCAAGGGAAACATGCCATGGGAGCAATCGATTGTATATCAACATATTTACCTAGTGGCAACATGTGCTTATCAGTTTTATCAGAATACATACATTAGAAAATTGACTTAGCAAGATGCTAGATACATTTCAGAGCAGAGCATCACACCATAGAAATATAGGAATGAGATTGTATATCAACATACCTTTGTTAACTGACCTATCAACATTTATACCATTGAACCTTAAGTATGTATGTGCATTAGAAACTAAAGTCCAGCAACATTGCACAGTAACATGCATGCCAGTAGAACAAAAACGAAAAGCTATATGAGACACGCCAAAGCTTGCATACCGTTGAAGAACAGAGTTGACCTGCTCACCTCTAAATTCTACTAATTCCGGCACTTGGCATGACCATATCGAGTCGGCTAGTGTTGCTGATCCAAAATACTCATATATACTTTTGGCTCCCTCAATACTTAAATCAAAACTTGACGTCAAAATTAGAATACCCCTTGCAAAAGTATAGAAAGTAACTGTTTAATTTCACAGTACAATGTTTACACTTGTGAATTACCGCGAAATGTATCGAATCATGCATATAACTATTTTCATAACAATTCTGATTGCGAAAATTTCAATAATATTCAAATTAATAAAAAAAAAAACTTTTGAATGGACAGAATCATAAGCACATATTATTTTAAATTTAATTTTTTAAATTTTATTAATATAAATAAAAAAAAATGATTTTCTCACGAATTCAAATT